GCAAGTTGGCACTCCAAAAGGGTGAACACCACTGGTTGCAGGTGCTCTGGAAGTTGACCCATAAAGTCTAACACTGGTGTGTCAGCTCCTGAAGCAAAGGGCACCTCGCGAGTTAGCCCTTTGCCTTCTTTCCTCCAGGAAGCTGCAGACTCCCTTTGTCCCCTATGCGGACAAACCAGTGTAACCCCCGTCGCGCGCCTTGAGCTCCCTCCTGAGCAAAAAGCCTAATAAGGTTGCGACCTCCTAGGCTACACCCCTAAGCCCTCCGGCTCGGACTTTGATTCCTTGGGTTGCAGCACCCTTCGTTTCTTAGACTTTTGGCCCATGGTCTTCTGCTTTGGGCGTGCGACCGTGGGCTGAGAAGGTTCTGTTAGTTGTTCGGTGGGTGGTTGCGCCCCCACCTGTGCTCCTTCAACAAGGGTGTCACTAGGGCCCGCCTCGGCTGGTTCCATGGCCCCAACCCAGGGGAAAACGAACCCCCTCTCTCTCAACGACCTTGGCACTCTGGGCAGCATATTCGCTGCATGCAAGTACTGTTAGTAAAAGAGTTCGCTACATGCAAAACCAAAAATTTGAAAAGATTGCGGACACTTACGAAGTAAGGGTTCCAAAGTCGCTTCAGAATTGAAGAAACTGTACTTCCTCAAATTGGCGGTTGTTATGAGTAGTTTCACATCATGACAGTGATTTGGCAAGTTATCGAATGAAACTATTCGGTTGAAGTCAAAGAGATCTGTCAACCTGGTCGACTTGTTTCCTGCGAAGAGACAAGAAAGATCATTAGAATTAGAAAGTAAATCCCAAAAAGAAAAGAAAAAATTCACTAAGTACAAAAAGGGAAGACTTACTCGGCTCCCTAAAGTGGCAAATGCCATCATAATGAAAAAAGAAAAACTTGGTCTCGTATGCTCTGACATTACTGGAGTAATTGAATATGCCTCCCTCGATCGTGGATCGCTTCGAGAGGTAGTAAGAATCTTTGTCCTTGCTCTTTTTTAAATAGTACGAGCAAACGAGCTCCAGCGCAGTCAGCTGGCCGAGGCCGTACTTGGCGCACGCGATATACATAGTCACGGCTATCATATATGCGTTAGGCGTCAGCTATAAAGGTGTGACCCCAAAGTAATCGAGGATCGACCTAATAAAGGGATGGAAGGGAATTAGTGCTCCGCATTTGAATATAGCTTTAGAGATCGCAGCCATTTCCTCTAGCGGATTTTGAGTTGTATGTGACCTGTACCGGTAGACGTCTACGCTAAGTGCGTATTGGTCTACTGCCTTCTGTATTTACTCTCGAGTAGCCACTGGGGGGTCCTACGCCTGCGAGCTCGTCCCCTCGTTTATTCTAGTCGCTGTAGGGTCCTCTCTTCTACGGTCTAAAAAAGGGGGACACATATTGATTACTCAGTCTCTGTACAAAATTTTGTACGATGACGTGGAAGAACAAAACCCTAATGTATCTTCAAAAAATCCTAAAAAAACCCTTGGGGACCACCCCCAATGGTTCCTACCTTGAAAACCTATTCCTTACAGAAGTCTAGCCATAAACACCCACCATTATCGCCTGGTTAAGTTGTCCACGAAATAGAAAAAGGAAAGCAATGGAAGGATCTTCCTTACCTTTTTGGCTGTGGGGGTCGAACTTCTTACTGTTAACGGAAAGTGCGCACCAACTTGAAGGATTGAAAATCTGGTCTCGTAAGAGCTTTTTGCTTTTTTTGAAAGTATGAGTGTTATGACATTGCATAAGGCGAGCCTGGGGTTTTATAGTGGAGGAAACGGCGATTGGTCTCCCCAATCGCCAAAGCCAAGCAACTTTTGGGTAGAATGCGTCTCTCGCCGTTGATCTCGACCACGTGTCATCAATCAGCGATGGTCGCGATCAACAGCGAGAAGGAGTAATCGCCACGCTTCAAGAAATTCAATCGTCGCGTCTCTCCGTTGAAATAATCAAACGACGGCTCAATTCTCTCCTCCACATTAAATGCGCCTTTATCCGCATTTAATGTCCTGATAAGGAATGTCATTTCAGCATGTCTTGCATTTAATGCGCATGGCTAGCACTTATTGCGCATAAGACACGTTTGTCAAAATAAAGGATACTTCATTAATGGATTAGCTGTCAAGCGCAACGGATAACATTTAAAGAGGTCGTTGGAAAAGAACACTCTTCGTCGCATGGCGATTGCAAAGCGATGTGATTCCTTGCCTCCAGCAAAAACATGCCAAGTGCAATCAGGTCGTGGACCTCGGTTAAGATAAGAGGTGCATCGATACAGCACTGAGTAAGGTCTAATCCAGGTCGTTGACTTTGTGGAAGAAGACCATCTCAGGTCGCTCATAGAAAAATGTTTTGCGACCTCCTTGTAGCCAGGTCTGCTCAACCAGGCGTCATTTGGATATGTCAAATCATGGCATAATTATGAAGTTCTCAAGGTTCGATCCTTAAACCTTAAAAACTGGGGGACTTCTGCTATACCGGAAAAAGTAGGTCTGACATGGAGCCTCGTCAGTAAAGGATGGTCAAAGTTCAGAACAGTTCTACGCCGTCCATGTGCGGCTACATCGCACCTAGTGCAAGTGGCATGGCTCATGTCAGTGCAGCAGGTGAGTGCCAGGCCAACAAGCAGCTGGAGATCACCCACGTGTCAAAGCCTTGCTTTAATCGAGGAAATCCCTTAGACAGGTGATCAATGGGACGCAAAGAAAGGATTTGCACGGCACCTACCCACTTGTAGTTTTCATAATCATTACCTTGAACTTTCCCACTATAAATAGAGGACTTCACTCTCATTTGAGGGAATTAGCTGATTTTACGCTGAAATAACTCTCTCTCTCTCTAAATTGTAACTCAACTTGCTGAACGCAACATGATCACTCTCTCTTATTAATACAATAACAGTGGACGTAGAATTCGCTTTAGAGCATTCGAACCACTTTAAATATTGCTCTTCACCTTTTATTTGATTCAATCGCCTCATATCACGTGTGACTTCTAAGTCATTTTAGCATTTTACACGTGTGAGTAGTTGGTGTCAAAATCAAGCATCAACAGTGGTGATGAGCATAAATCAAAGGGAGATAATTTAGATGATATATACTTTGGACATGATAATCTAAATGCAGCACCTATCTTATGAGATCTTCTATACATCCCGTGCGGTCTAAGTATAGAATTAATTACACAACTCAATATGCAAGTTCACAACAATAAGAAAGGGCATGTGAACTAAATTTTGACGGTAATGTAAGAGATTGTGTGAGGGTTAAATACTAACTTAAGTACCACACCCAACGCTAGGGGTGTTTGGTTTCGAGTATCCTGCATTTTTTTAAGGAACCGGAACCGACGGTTCTGGTTCTTGGGTAATGGGTATCCAAAACCAGAACCTATAACAACGGTTTCGGTTTCGGTTTCGGTTTCAAGTACCCTATAAAATTACAATTACCCCCCAAAAGTTTTCAAAATGGAAAAAAATCCTTAAAAACTTACAAATCCCCCCCACCTAGCACTTGTTAACAAAAATAAAATTACAAATTCAAAATTACGAACTTCATTACTTTGTAAAGGTAGATTCTCAAAAGTCAAACCAACTTACTTTAAATGTTATGAAATATAAATATAAATGTATTCACGTTACTTTGTTTACAAAAGTTTTTTATTAAACCCTCCTACTCTTTAATTTTATTTTATGTTAGTCTCAGTTCCCGGTTTCGATTTCGGTTCCTAACTGTAAGAACTGAACCGAAATCGGAACCGCACAAAGACGGTTCAAAAAATTTAGAATCGGAACCTACCTGTTGACAATTAGTTCCAGGTAGGAACCGGAACCAAACCTCGCGTACTCGTCGATTCCGGTTCTATTCGGTTCTTTTGAACACCTCTACCCAATGCCCATTGGAGCACACACTTCGAAGATGGGTCAAACATCTATGACAAAGTAGAACTAACTCCACATCCAATTTGAAACTAGCGATGGACATTTTTTCAGTGGATATACTCAATTCCAAAAATTTATCGTGCCAACATTGCTAGCTACGCCCAGTGACCACACCGCCAATACATCAAGTTTGAATTTTGTAATGATTCTGTAATCAACTTGAATTGGTATGAATTTGATTTGGTGTGCCGAAGGGGTAGGTTTTGATGATTTGGTGCATTGATGTTGTATTCTAAGTTTCTAACGGATGATTAAGGAAACTTCAGGATTCTTTTATTGTAGTTTGTTGTATAATAAATGACAATATATTGATAGGTGAATTAATAATGATGAATAAATACATGTAGAAAAAACCCATAAACATGATAATGGGCTAAGCCCAACCCCACATCGACCAACCCAACTCTATCTAATAGGATCAGGTTAAGGGTCATACTAAGAAGTAAATTTGAGCTCTCATCAAATCGATTTGTATCTCTCAAAATTTTTTTTTTTTTTTTTTTGGTTTTTTTGGGTAACGGGGATATTTTGACTTCTTTGCACGAATCTTAATTAGTTCTTGAGATCTATTAAACACCCTACAAGTTCAAAGGACTAGATAAATCACAATGTTATTATAGTAGGTGACAACAACATTTGTACTGAGGCACTCAAGGAAGCAAACCTCTTTGATTGCCAGGCTAACCGTTAGAGGTTAGTGTCCCTCGTTGCTAAATACACATTTAACATTTTTCACAATTTATAATGATCCATCATAATTTTCACCTACTAAGTCCTAATTAACTGAAAAAGTTATCAACTAATTTCCTGTATATCTCCTGCTTAGCATAGTACTATATCTTAATTACTAAGCATGTAATTTCTCCATAACGTGTATCAAAATATTTTTACAAATTTAATTCCTATAAAATTGTAAAATACACAATAAAAACAACTGCATATGAAGTATCTCAAACCTCCCTGTAATTAAATGATTATGTTAAAAAAGAGTTACACTGTGTCAAATAGAAACACACGAATGCATGGATTTAATTAATGTAACAATCAGCTTCACCATTATCAGGTTCTTCTCCTCCCCATAGACATTGGATTTCCATCAAATAATTCTTCAATGTATGTCTCGATATCTTCTGGTTGATACTTGATATACTTTTCTCCTTGTTTACTACCTTCCAAAAATTGCCTAAATCTTCCCAAAAATGACCGGTAAGCCGGGATCACTACCGCCGATATCGAAACTCGAAGCTCAGATTGGAGCTGTTCGTCACTCACCACCCACGTGCTCTGTGTCTTATGTATCTCTTCAAACAATGTATTAAAATTCTTGAACCTTTCTTTCAATACAGGCTTCAACACCTTCCCATTACTTTGTAACCCTTCATGGCTAATGCATTGTAACACTCTACTCCACGTTTCTCTCTGGTAACTCTTATGGTATTGCCTCAAATCAGTTGACCTCTTTCTGCGCCATGTGGCACCCATTATATCATGAATCTCCGTGGAACCTTTGATCTTCTGTAAAATATATCTCCCGTTATTCATCAAGAAAATGTTACTCAATGAAGGGTCCCTGTACAGCTTTGACTTCATATCAAGATTTGCATCCAACAAATCCATAATCGTCATCAATCGTTTCGAAAACGGAGATTTTCTTGGCGTCCCATTATCCGAACAGTTCTCAGGTTCGGGCTCATTTGACATGTCTACTCCTTCCTGCTGTTTAAACACTTCTTCTAACGTGTCCGTGTATTCACAAGCGTATTTTAGATAATTCATTGTATAGCGAGTCAAGGGGTGAACTTGACCACTGGGTACCGGGATTCTACCTTGGTCACTCTTGATTGAACTTTCAAGTTCAGAGAATATGTTGACGGCCATTTTGCCAATCCGGGATTGAGCAACGCATATCTCGAATATTAAATCTTTGGCACTCTCACAAGAACACAAATCACCCATAAGTGGAAGCATGTCTCTAAAAGTCTCATGCATATCCAAAAATTTAAACAGTTTCTCCGTTGAACTCTTTGTTAATACAACACCTTCACCGAAGTTAAGAAACCTTTTAATAACTACCGCTGCAAGATCACTGAACAATCTTTGAGATATTGATGGATACTCGGAGAAGATTGAGTCCGAAAGTTTGCGTTCTCCGGGGAAGAGAACCGTGTAACAATGCCTGAAGATGCTGATCCACATGCTGATTTCTCCTTCAAGTGATTCCCATTGCATTCTTTGTACATCATCAAAACTAATATTGTCAAATCCTAGCTTGGTGAGTTGATCTCCGAGCGCCATTTTCCTGAAGATACTATACACCAAGCAACATTCTGATTCGTAACCAGCTGAGATCATTGATGTTGCAATCTTGTTCATGTTTGAGATTGCTTCTTGTGAGAAATCTGGGAACTCCTCGTCTTCATTGGACACGGTTTCTGGTAGAGCACATCGATCTAAGTCTTTAGTTGAGAGGGAATTATAATTGAAAGTGGATTGTTTCGGTGTCTTTGGAGTTTTGAGTTCTAAACGGCAGCGCTTAGGGTATAAAAGTGCACGGAACTCTTCATCCAACAAAGACATGGCTCGATGAAGAACATTGCTTCCTTGGTTTAGAGAAGACCCCATTTCATCTTTGGAAGAAAATTCACCCATGCCATTTAACAGCTTTGAAACGCGTTTCACACATTCAAATAACAAATCATCCTCCTCCTGATTTTCTCCAAACCTCATTGAACTTTCCCTGGATTCATATTGTTTAATGAATGATTCAAAAATCCTGTAAAAGGACCCTATTGATTCCGGAATTTGTGACGGTTCTGGAGATAATGTATCAATGAATTCATCAACCTCTGGAAGAACCTGAGGAAGGGAAGCTGACTCATCAACAATATTCTTCTGTGGTATCTCCTTTTGATAAGCTGCCGCCGCATCCCCTTTTAAATGGTCCATAGTTGATTTTGTACGAATGATTTCTGATTGATGTCTGGCATGAGATGCACATTCATTCCTTCTATGGTCACGACTTTTGGGTAAAGTTGCAGAGGTCTCTAGAGCTAAGAATTTCTCCATGGCTGAATCTAACTTTCAACAGACACTTTGCATGTAATTTCGTTTTTATTTTTTATTTTTTTTTAATCTGTTGAAGATTAGATTAGATTAGATCAGACTGATGGAGCAAACGATAATGGAGGTGAAGAATCATAGCGTAAATGGTGGAGACTTGTTGTTCATTAATCAGGCATAATTTAGTTTTGGGCTGGCACACGGTGGATAGAATTGTGATATTTTTATTGTTGTGGCCGTTAGTTTTTTGTAAGGTGGCAAATTCTCGTTGACAGTTGACCTTTCCCCATTTCCCATTTTGTTTGTGCTTTGCACGACCTTCCCAGTTTCTCTTATAATTATCCCCGACCTATGCGACGAGTCATCACCCCGCATGTTCTTCGGCTAGCCTTGCGGAAATCCCTCGATCTCATTGGTTCTTTTTCTCAATTGGGCCTTCCGTTTATAGAGGCCCAATAAGACTCAAAAAATTCCATGCTTAACCCATGATTTATAATTTAATTTGTATCTTAATTAATAATAAAATCGTAATTAGTGGCGAGTAATTGGACAAAACAAAAGAGGAAGAAGTATAATGGACAAAGTGTCCACCATTTTAGTGGACTGTACTTTTTAGTACAAAATCTGGCCTACACTACATATCATCTGAATATTTTTCATATAATTGGTATAATATGTGTCAGCAAGCACTCTTTAGTCTTTATTCAGCCATTCACCGAATTTGGAGGCCTTAAATCATGCTATAAATATCAATATACTAGCTAATTATTCTAGCTTTTCTGTACACATCTGATCTGGGGTTTTTGGGGTAGTTTTTATTTTGGTATTGGTTGATATTATAAAATTTAAAATTGAACGTTCAACGATTGTTAATTAGCGGTGAGCACGTGGGCACGTAGAGGATTCTTCATAATAATCCATCTAAAATTCAGTGTGAAAGCTATTTGGTCAAGAAAGTGAAAGCTTATAGCCGCCTTAAATCACCTTCTTCCCTTTTACTTTTTTTCCATTTGGGAAATTCCTTTTAGTCCGGTAAATTCTTTCTGGTCAACTTTTAATGGTAGTTGACCACTCAGAATCCATGAATTCAACCTACTCTTGTGTAGGTAGTATAGCTGTATAGACAAAAGAGTAAACGACCTGGTCCCACCCAAATAATTGACCGAAGACGTCCATCCATGAACTTTTAAAATATCATTTTTCTATCTAAACGTTATATCTCGTTAGTAATTTGTGTTAAATACAATAATATTTATTATAAAGACGAAAATACCCTTAACAAAAACCTCATCATCTCGACCTGCAGCTCTCACCGATCACGGGCGAACGTCCACAGCTTTTTCGCACGTTTTCCCCTCTTATAGCCGCCTTAATCATCTTCTTCCTTTTTACTTTTTTCCATTTGGGAAATTCCTTTTGGTCCAGTAAATTCTTTCTGGTCAAGTTCTAGTAGTAGTTGACCACTCAAAATCCATGAATTAAACCTACTCTTGTATAGACATAGACAAAAGAGTAAATGACTTTGTCACACCCAAATAATAGACTAACGACACTTTCTCGCCCATCGATTTTTAAAATACCATTTTCCTACCTAAACGTTATATTTCATTAGTAATTTATGTTAAATACAATAATATTTATTGTAAAGACAAAACTACCCTTAACAAAAGCCCTTCATCCCGACCTGCAACTCTCATCGATCGCGGGCAGACGCCAAGTGCTTTTTCGCACGTTTTCCCCTCTTATAGCCGCCTTAATCACCTTCTTCCCTTTTACTTTTTTCCATTTGGGAAATTCTTTTTGGTCTAGTAAATTCTTTTTGGTCAAGTTTTAGTAGTAGTTGACCACTCAAAATCCATGAATTAAACCTAATCTTGTATAGACATAGACAAAAGGATCCTTCCAATAGAATTGTGACAAAAATTGAAATTTGAAAGGGTTGGAATCTCAGAGATAGGGGGATTTACAAGTGAAGAAGAATCAGGGGGGTGGCGTTGGTTTTTGTATTATTGTCGGTGGCATGTTATGAGTGCGATGGGTGGAGCAGTTCAAAAATTGAATGGACAGATGTGGCTTAAGCGGCGACCCACTTGACATGGCGATTTTGATTTTTGGAGTCATTTTCTGAGAGCACTGCTGTGTTGGCAATTCCGTTTCATCTACGCCTCACATTTGGTATCTATATAATCACAATGCTATACATGATTGGCAGATGCTTTTCTTTCATTTTCTTTGGGAAAACAACATCAAATTATTAGTTTCATATGATAAGAAATTTAACTTGTTTGTTTGTTGTTTCTGCGTGTGAAATAAATACGAAATTCTATCATCCAATTTCCTAAAAAAACAAAGCCAACGCCAAATTTAATTTGAAAATCCAAGTATGAAATCGAAACCCATGTCAAACTTTACAATCTTTAAGAAATGGTTGGTGATGAAGTATTCGTTAAACTTTACAATCTTCCAAAAATAGTAAAACCCTAATTACCCTGTAAGAAATAGTAAAACAAAAATCCTTGCCTAACTATAACAATAATTGTTTGACTCTTCTTTGAAGGACAAAATTTGTATGGGAGGACAAATCAATAAAAGCAAAATCCCCCCAGACACTAATAAGGATGGTCATTAGGGTTTTTATCCTACTGATAATTTCAAGGTCTCGGAAGATTAATTAAGGCAGTAATAGATCTAGAAATTTCTATTAGAATAAGCTAAAATAAAAACTGATTGCATATAACATTTATATTATGTTTTTCTAATCGAAATTGCCACAAAAAGAAAAAAAAATACATATTAATATATATTTTTTTTTTTTAATTTGAGGATATTCTCTAGACCGTTCCTAAGTTGAGGTGCGTGCAAACTAGTCCAAACATCCATGTGATAAAAAACAAAAAGGATAAAACAATTGGTTAGGGAATATATAAAAGGATTTGGGATCTAACCTAATTGGTTTAAGTAATGAAATCGGCATCTTCATTTGATTTTGTAACTCTCTCTAGAATGTCTTCAAAGAAGAGAAGAGCACGTGTTTGGTTGAATAATTCACTTTGTGCTTAAGTTATATATATATTCATATGAGATGATAGATGCTTATTCTACATACTTCAATCCCAAACTAACCTTTTTATCCTAATTAAATTCTTTTGGTCTCCTCTCCTCTTACGTAACTTACTCTGTCCAATTTCAATTTAACCAAATTGTGACCATAATCAACTTCTGAAAAATATGATGTACTTTTTAGCCCATAACATAAACTAAATTTGTCGACAAATTTAAGGAATCATAGACGGATTGAGTTACGGTTGAACTAGAATTGGAAACCCAAATCAAAGTATTGTTAACACCAAAAATGTGAAGGATCAAAAAGACATAATCTAAGTAAAGTTGTTAGAACTAACTGTAACACAAAGTACAGAACGTAACCGGAGGCTTTATGTAACGTTTTCCTTGTGCGTTCCGCCAGTCCCGCCAATTGACACGTACACACGTATTTTTGGTTTATCTTTTTACAACGTCATTGTCTTTCTCTCTGGTGGTGAAATGAAGTGGTGATTGGATAAAAAATTAAAGATGGAAACTTGTGAAAATCTAGAGAGGAGTTTCTATTTTTATTAATACGGTCAAACTTTTTGTAGTGGCAGAGATTGTTATAAACACATTGCATTTGTATGCACACTGTAGTGTTCAGCAAGCCGAAGACAAAGCCGGCTCTGTTTCACTTCAAAAACATTTTTCTCTTTCTCTTTCTCTTTCTCTTTCTATCATCTCTGCTTACCCAATACCAACTCAAAGTTTTTATCTTTATTGGATTCATTTGTTTTTTGTTTGGTGGGAGATACATAGATGTTTTGTATTGGGATATGAACCGTTGATTGAGTGTGAATAAATCTGATTTTTCTTTTCCTTCTTTTGTATTTTTTTATCTTTGGGAAGAGAAGGATTTGAATAGGTTTTGATTTGATTTGAGGAGATGGGTTGTTTTCCTTGTTTTGATTCGAGGGAAGAAGAGAAGTTGAATCCAGTTAAAGAATCGGATGATCAAAAGCAAGGCCAACCTACTGTTTCTAATAACATTTCCAGGTTGCCTTCTGGTAAGTTTTGTTTATAATTTACGTGTTTTCTTATTGTTATAATTTTTGGCTATTTGGTTGATTGATCTGATCTGGGTCTGTTTGATTTATTGATGATTGGGATAAGATGCTGATGACGCTCTTTTCATTCGATTACTTTTATATTGTTTATGTTGTGTAGTTCTGCATCATTAATCAGGTTGATTAGATTTAGGAGCTAGCATCATTCTCTTCGTTTTGTGGATTATAACTTGATTGATTTTTGTTTCAAAGAATTTTAGAGCTTTGGATTATGGATTGGGATAACTGATAAGTGAGATCTCATGATGAATTTGGATCACTTAGGTTGATCTGATTGGTAATTTAGTTAGTGGGATTGGAAACATTAGTTTAATTTAAGGTCAGATATTGAAATTATATAAATTTAGTACAATCATCTTTACTTACTATGATTAAAGTTTGAGTCCATCAACTTTGCTTAATGATTTGGATTGAAATTAGTGTAATTAAGCTTTCATCTTTTGACCAATGTGGTAGAAATTACTAGTCTTCCTTTTCTTTTCAAATTTAAGGAGCTTAATTCTTGACCTTAGATTGTCTGGTTGGCATAAGATGGTATCAGCGATCCATTATTCTTTGTTTTGATGGAACCTGCAGGAAGAGAGAGACTCAGATCAAGAAGCAATGGGGGTTCTAAAAGGGAACTGCCAGTTCCCAAAGAACTTCCCGGTGGTGCCAATATCGCAGCTCAAACATTTACTTTCCGTGAGCTTGCAGCTGCAACCAGGAATTTCAGACCAGAATGTTTCATAGGGGAAGGGGGATTTGGACGTGTGTACAAAGGGCGGCTTGAGAGCACTGGCCAGGTAAATTATTCCATTCTTGCTTTTTTCATCTATCAAATCTGAATCAGAGTATATAGTTGAAATGAATAGACATTATATTATACCTGGATTTACTGGCAATAGGTCTTTCATTCTTGTTGATTAATTTATCTTTACCTACCCAATAAAGAAAGAGGAGGTAATTCCTAGACTGAAATAGCATGATGATTACAGCAATTTGAGGCCAACTATCTGGTGAAAATGGAATGGTTTTGAATAAATTTAACTATAGTGGATATGTTTTCCAAATTTTTTCTAAATCCCTTGTAGACCACCAAGTTGGTGAATCCATTTAATATGGTCAGGAGAATTAAATAGTTTCAGAACATCATCTATATATTTTGCCAGAACAAAATTAAGGATAAAATTATCAAGTGGCAAGACTTCTCAGGGCTTTGAATTGTGAATTTTTTGTTAGCATATACCTTTTTTCTGAAATTCTTCACCATAATTGATTCTTGAGCCCATACCTTACACTCTGACATGATAGCATTTGTGGGGTTACTGTTATATCTTGATGTAGTCAACCTTTCTGCAAAGAGAGCAGCAATCTCTACGTGTTCGAATGTGAATTCTCTATTCAAAAAATCTAGTGAACATTTGATTTAATGTTGCTATTAAGTTCCTATTGCTGCATGATATGCATCAGCTGTGGTTACTTTCTTAACCCCTTAAACGGAACAAATGTGAAGAAGATGTAACTACAACATACTATTTATTTGGATAATTAATTCCTTGCTTTTACCAAAGCTGCAATGCATGATAAGATTCACCATATGAAAATTGTAATAATTCCAAAGAGATCACAAGTACTTTATTTAAAGTGAGACAAATCAAAGATTTAGACTATATGACTAAGATTTCATTAGATTATTATTGAAATTATGAGATTTTACTTGCACCATGGTACCACTGCAGCTTCTGGTCTTGATGGGAATATGTTTTTGATTTCTCTGACTCTGTTTGCTCTTTGCAGGTTGTTGCTGTCAAACAATTGGATAGAAATGGCCTTCAAGGTAATAGGGAATTTCTGGTGGAGGTCCTTATGCTCAGCCTTCTTCATCACCCAAACCTAGTGAACCTAATTGGATATTGTGCTGATGGGGATCAGCGGCTCCTTGTCTATGAATTTATGCCCATGGGATCTTTGGAAGATCACCTTCATGGTAACTTTTTTTGCACTTCTGAGTTCCCAAATTTGACATTATTTCATTTGTTCATAGTTTCACGCACACCTAGGACGACTATAGAATCTATCGGAATTTTATTATATATGAATCCTATTAGTAGCCCGTTTGAGATGAATAAGTTGACAGTGCAATGAGAGGTGACTTACTGCTTGCTGAAATGATGAGATGGATGTTTGGTTGATTGAATAGGATATTAGAAGAATTCACATCCTATGATTAGTCAAAGCCTGCAAATGGGGTAATACTATGTTGCCAATAACAAGTAGTTGAGATGCCTTTGTGAATAACTCATTCTTGTTATGTTGGTTGAATTAGTGCTATTGATATAAACAACCCAGCAATAGGTAGGGTTGCTGAATTCCTTTTTGATGGATATATGTTTTTTGCCTTATACTATCTTGATTGCTCTCTTAGATGTGTTTTTAAACATTACGTATTGGCTTATAAATAAGAAATAAATGAATTGTGAGCTATCATGGAAGAAGGGGTGGTAATGCCAAATAGGTAGACACAACTTAAATAATGGATTTTTGATACTCATTTCATTCGATGGTTTTGCTGTCAACACTTGCAAGTTGCCATATACTACAACACTTTGAATTGTAGAATCTTGATGTCAAAAGTATGTGTTTATGAATACGGATGGGTGTTGGAAAGCAGAAAGAAATAAGTTATTATAGTTCGGATATTAATATTCTTCACAAAGTTGGTCTATTAAGGGCCACAGGGTGCCGTAATTGCAGTTTTATGTTCCTTGATATATTTTTATTTATTTTTAAACCTTTTAAATTAAAAGAGTTTGTTTTTCGATGTGAAGTAACTGCTGATTTCTTTGTTACAGATCTTCCACCAGACAAGGAACCACTTGATTGGAACACAAGAATGAAGATAGCAGCTGGTGCTGCCAAAGGTTTGGAATACCTTCATGATAAAGCAAACCCTCCAGTTATTTATAGAGACTTTAAGTCCTCCAACATATTACTTGATGAAGGATTCCATCCTAAGCTTTCTGATTTTGGGCTTGCAAAGCTTGGTCCAGTTGGAGACAAGTCACATGTTTCCACCAGAGTTATGGGAACATATGGTTATTGTGCCCCCGAGTATGCCATGACTGGACAATTAACAGTAAAATCTGATGTCTATAGTTTTGGGGTGGTCTTCTTAGAGCTGATTACTGGACGAAAAGCCATTGACAGTACCCGACCCCATGGAGAACAGAACCTAGTCACATGGGTAATATATTTAAATGTTGTGAAATGTAGTTACAACTTTTCTGTACAACAGTGTGTCCAGCTGAAAGTTCTGTCATTTCTTTGTAACTGAGACTGGTAGTGGTTTTATGCATGTACAGGCACGTCCGTTGTTCAATGATCGAAGGAAATTTGCTAAATTGGCTGATCCACAACTTCAGGGCCGGTACCCAATGCGTGGTCTCTACCAAGCTCTAGCTGTGGCATCAATGTGCATCCAAGAACAGGCAGCCACTCGTCCTCTGATTGGGGATGTGGTCACAGCCCTCTCTTATTTGGCAAACCAGGCATATGACCCTAATACTGCTTCACATGGGTACAGAGGTTCTGGGGACAAGGAAGACAGAAGAAGCAGAGATGATAGAGGCGGAAGAATATTAAGAAACGAAGAAGGGGGGGGATCCGGACGCAGGTCGGACTTGGAAGGGTCAGAGAAGGAAGACTCCCCAAGAGAAACCGGTAGGATGTTAAACAGGGATTTAGATAGAGAACGAGCTGTTGCCGAGGCCAAAATGTGGGGAGAGAATTGGCGAGAAAAAAGGCGGCAAAGCGCCCAAGGCAGTTTCGATGGCAATAACGGGTAGTTGTTACCACTCTTAGCATTCTTATCAGACAGTGGAAGAAACATTGGAAGCTTAGCTATAATTCCAGCGGGTTCATCCAAACAGCTTGACAATGCTTCTCTCACTTCTGAGCGGGCATCATAAGGGACTTGGTGCAACCAATGTTTAAACCCTTTTTTGTTTTTTCCTGTTTATCGTTTTTTATTTTCTTTGATTGGAACATAGCGGACGAAGATGATTATGATTATGTAAAAGAGTGTACATTATCTGCTAGGAGAGTGAAAGCAGAACAAGACGTATTTATAAAAATTTTGAGAGTAAACACGTCTTGCTCATCTTGTGCTTCTGCTTGTTCATGTTCTCTGTATCTTGTAATCTTCTTCAAAACACACTTTATACCAACTAATTGACGTAATTTTATCAAACACTTTCATATGTCAATCTTAACAGTTCATTTATGCATACACAAACTTTCTATACAACCCGTTGATTTAGTTTATCCGTGCATATGCTTTAGCTTTACTACCTAACATTGTATTTGCTTTCTATCTTGTCTGGACGCCTTCTCGCCACTTGTTCGTTCTATTTAACAATTTGGCATCAAAGATCTCTGTCACTTCTATGCTTCTCCTATATTATATTAAATGATTAAATCTCTATCGCTGAGATGAGATGATTACTGAATTTGAGATTATCTGCAAGGTACAATAATATAAAGTGGGAGTACCATAACGAGTTCCATCTGGCACAAAATAGGTGGAGTGTTGTGTTTTGAGGTCAGGAATTTTCAACTTGCCCCGGCGATGAAAACAATCAAAACATAGAACGTCCTTGAAATGGGTCCGTCAAATATCAAAGTAGGCTGCCTTGGTTCACGCCTTTGATTCCAAGTGTCCAGTTTGCTCATTTCTAGCACGTTAGTTTTTTATAGGGCATCTAAATTATTGATTGTTCAATCAAAGATTCATGAGCTAGCAATTGTCAATTTTCATTTTACTCAAAATTGAAAGCACGAACTTTTATGTTTCTATCTTGAAAGCGGCAACATATATTAAGATCCTCAACAGTATACATAAAAACAAACTGGGACAGTCACTGTATTTGTTATGTAAACTGAACAGTATACATAAAAACAAAGGACGCTTATGAGAGTAGCTTAATTAAGCTTTCATTTTCGATTCATACATACAGTGCAAAATTAACAAGAAAGGGAAAAAGACAAGGCTTCTTTGGTTTGTGAGAAGTAGGTAGGAATTAAACGGCTGCACATAATTCATTTTTTTGGACGTCATCCTTTGACATGACTTCTAAGGTTTTCTCAGGTTTCTGGGGCTCCTCTATTTGTTCATTCTCTTTGGCATCTTCATTCACAATATCTCCATTTACTTTGGTTTCAACTTGAATATCAACGGGATATACTTCAGAAGCTCCCAATGCGCTGAGTATAACAATGTTCTTTAAGGGTTCTGCAGGTAGCTTTTTCTCCTCTATGACCTTACGGGTGTTCCTGTAAATCGTGTAAAGGACCATCTGGAGTAATCCCAAGACGAAACCCAAAACGTTTGGGAGCTGGAGTATCATTAAAAAAACAAACCAAAAAATTAATATAACAGATAATATGAAACAAAGAAAAAGGTATTTAACGAAGGAAGATTTAAACTTACAGCTATGCAAATATCCTTCAGGAAAAGGCCATAACCGAACCACATAACTGCACTCAACGTAAGGAAGAATGATAAGTTGAATGGCATGAACTCAACACTTTTGGTTCGAATAACTCGTGCCTACAAAACAAAAAAAATAATCAGCCGAATGATTATAAAATACCAAAAAATTAGGTAATCTTTTTAAGTTTGGTATGTTGATTAATACTCACCACAATGCTCAAGGGTGCTGCAAAAACACTCACAGAGAAGGCAACACAAATCCAACCAAGAACTTGGATCCGAGTATTACCATGAATAAGGTAGTGTGTAACGATGAGGATCAAAAAGAAGGCTCCCAAGTTCATTAAAGCAAATGTTCTGATAGTTGATTTCTGCAGTCATATAATTAATAGGGTAAGTTGATTGTTGAATGTCACATAATTTGTTTTTTAAAAAAAAAAAAAAAAAAAATCAGTTGTTTTCCATCTTAATTACCCGGCTGTCTTTTGATGCATAAGCAATGTACATAGTGATGTAAATGCTCTCTACAAAACATCCAAAGGAGTTGATGGTGATGAGGAGAAAGGCATCTCCTTTAAGCAATGCATAGTAGAGCCATAGCATTGAACTGAACAACGCTACAAGATAAGGCAAGGATTGGAAGCTCTCCGTTGATTTCTTTTTGAAAATACGATAAAATGTTGGCCTGCGAAAAGTATATAACCAATTATTATTCTGTCATATCAAAGCATATATGTTATAAATATTATTCTGTTTCTTTTCAAAATTGAAAAAGATATAAATAAGAAAAAAGGTAAAATACTTACACAGGAGCAAGATACACAAGAATGGAGATGATATTACCTGACATCAATCAATCAACAAAAAAGATTTCATTATACATAATACAAAAAGTTCCTTAAACCAGTTAAAAACAAATATTAATTAATAGGTTAGTTTTAGTAATGAAAACGCGTAAGCATGATTATGATAATGAACTTACTATTACTACAGCAACAACGTGTGTGTATAGTTGAACAGTATTTTAACTTATAAAAAATTTTCAATGGTTCATGAGTTTTCATTTCTATGCATAAAATATGAACAATAGACATGTGACTGTGAGGAAGGTTGATCATCTTTTTCATGCCAGCCTCAACTTTTACCAAACAAATATAATATTAAAAAATGATTCTCATGTGTTATATAACTATTCCACTGTGTAGTAGTTTGCTGATGAGAAATGAACAGACTGTAAACATAATATGAACTGCGGATAGATTGAAGATTAACAGTAGATAAAGGGAGGAACGAATAAGCCGGAAAAAAGAGTTGAACAAACATGAGGAATGAAGGGTCGTTAGGAAAATGGAGAAAACTAGATGCATGGCAAAGCTTATAATATGTTTATGTGGGCATTATTTTTATACCTAAGACGCCAAATGCAACTGCCAATTGATGGTGGCTGATACCCATGAGAGCCATCTCTTCAAAATGAACAAACAAAAATGTTTGACACACTCTACAAACAAATTAACAAAAACACAGAAGATGAAAGCAGCAGGGACACTTTCTCCTCTCGCTCTCTCTGGTTTTGGAGCACCCTCAATATCACATGCAAAATAAACTGCAGTGAAGGCAATGAGGAATGGTCCTAATAGGTTTAGGAAGTGGCCTTTTTATACACAAAATTATTGACACACACAGTAATGAAAAAAAGAAGAGTGCGTAATGAACTCATTCTTGTTGCATGACAAGTGGAGGCTTTAGTAGGTGGCGTTGCTTGAAATCATTCACCCAACTATTTTTTCACCCCCACGTGCCACCCCAGTCGCGTGTCATTTATTCCAACCACATGGCATTCAGATCTTTTTGACCCATTTTTCACCGTTTTACTCTAATACGTGGAATCCAATTTAATCATAAAATCCTATTTACTTACTATAATTAACAAATTAAATTATTTTAACATTGGAAGTGTAATAAAGAAGAGACGCGCCTGTGAGAAAAGCGTGACATAATAGTCTGAGAAAATTATATATAATAAGGAGTTGTTTTTTACGTTACTGAGAGGCCGCAAAGGTGTCCTTAAGTAGGGCTGCCATTCACGTGACCTCTCGAAATACATAGACCTTAAAAGCCGTTTCTTTAAGGAGAGATGAATGATAAGTAAGTGAAAAAGGCCGAAGAAAACACGCCACACAGCGTCAGCCCTACCTAGATGGGGATTTTTTTTTTTAATTTTTTAATTTTTAAAATTCTGTTTGTTTTAATTTTGTTTGATAGTGTTTTCGGGTGTTCATGCAAAAGAAAAGGGAAAAAAGGTGTCGTGTGTGAGAGGATGATGAAGATCTCATGACTTTTTTCTCCTTGAAGCCAGTTGTTTTCCTGCAGTTATATGAAGATTTGAAGAAATCGACAAAACGTATGACATAATAAACAATCATATGATTCTTTCTTGTTTTTATAATACGTAATTTTAAATAACGCTAGGTGGATATTGTAGGATTCGCCAGATAATTAATTTATGGCTCTAACTAAAAGAAGAGTCTTGATGCTTTTGATTTCTCTTCTCCTCCTCCTCCTCCTTCTTCTTCTTCTTCTTCTCTTTTCATTAGTAGTTAATTTAACCCTTCCATTTCTGTGGTTAATAATTCTTCTATTTGCTACTAGTATTAATGCGGTTCATCCCATTTGGATAATTTTTTCTTTAAAGCTCAAAACTTTTTATCTTGTCTGGCTAATCATTCATCTGATCCAAAGGGAAAGGGGGAATGACGAAATGAGAAGTGATGGATCGATAAACATTTTATTTTAATATGGAATGCGTCTCTTTCGATTGGTTAATTTGTCTGCTTTATTTTAATATTAAAGATGATTTAACATTCAACGAAAAATAGAAAGCACTACCATTATCGTCATAGTTTAATTAATGGTCTTTGAATTAGTGGGAATTAAATAGGGTTTAGAATTAATTAATGGCTCCCACAAGGCCACAACAATCACATAATATTACATCATCACCATGTATGTTCATGCAATTATATGGAGAGAATTGATAGATATCACCATATGATTAGTTGTATTATTTGATATGAGATGAACAAGTAACGCGTGGCATATTATTTATTCATATTTGGAATTGAACACATCTCCCGACTCCTATAATTGAGAAATCTAGCTGGCTGTTTGCATGCAGAAACAAGATATGTGATCGAACATCCCTTCATAAAAATTTCCATCTTGTGGCCAAATTTTAGTGTGGTTTGATCACCAAATATCATTTCATTATTGAGGAACCAAAGATAAGGTTGGTGGGGTAAACTAAGATAATGACTCCCAGCATTTAATAAAGCCAGCTAAATAGCTTAAATCTTAATTTGATTAGGCAGGGGAAAGGAGCATTCTAAACAAGGTAAACATGATGATAATCCTGTATTGACTTAATTTAAGGGGGAATTTGTAATACATTTCATGTGTTCCTTTTATGTATAAATTTAACTACGTGTGAGCTGGAGGTCTTTAGTCTTAATTTATATTATATGATACTATTACTTCCGCCGAAATTCCTGCAAATTGAAAGACCAATATCTTTCGTCTATGACAAATAGTTCTTTCTTTGGCCTTAAATAATTAATCATTTGTAGGAAATCGTGATGAAAAGCTGAACCTAAATATACCGAAGAAGCTTCCGTACACAACTCTCTAGGTCAATGATTAGCAAACTGATGAGATATACTTCTAATCCAGTCTTCTAAACAATATGATTATCGAATTTGAATACTCTCTAAACTTTTAATTACTGCATGGATTACCCTTTTATACAATACACCAATTAAATCTCTATAAATTAAAAATATTTCCAGCAATATTATTACATCATGCGTGGATTTCTTTTAAGGAAACTTTATTTGATAATGTTTTTCTGCCGGAAAGTGCATTCGGATATTTTCTTCACAAAAAACATTATACACGAGATAAAAGTGGTATAATTATTGGAGTAGTTATATGAAAAGTAGTTTGATTTAACTTTACCATTTACGTAATCAAGCACTCATGAAAACAAATCTAAAACAGTTGTTATACAATACACTAATTAAATATATATAAATTAAATTTGTTGACTTCGAAAAACAAAATGGTTCTATGGTGTAGTGGTTAGCACTCTGGACTTTGAATCCAGCGACCTGGGTTCGACTCCCGGTAGGACCTTTTGTGTTTTTGGATAATTTTTTATTTTCTCTTTCATTTTTTTTTTTTTTTTTAAATTACTTTTCTTTCTAATTTTCTTCGAACTCACAAAATTTCCTAAATTGTTTCTTCGGACTAAAGACATGGAAGAGAATTACAAAACCCTTGAAATCGTTGAGAAAACCCCCAACTCTCGAGTCGTCTACCTATACCTAAACCGTCCATCGCAGCGCAACGCGCTGTCACGTGATTTCTTCTCCGAATTTCCCAAGGCCTTATCTTTGCTCGACCAAAACCCTAATGTCAACGTGATTGTTCTCGCCGGCTCCGGCGATCATTTCTGTTCCGGCATCGACCTAAAAACTCTAAATTCAGTCACTGATCACTCCTCCACTGCCGACCGCGGGCGCTCCTCCGAGCGTCTCCGGCGAGATATCAAGTTCTTGCAAGACGCGATCACCGCCATCGAGCTGTGCCGGAAGCCGGTGATTGCCGCTATCCACGGGGCGTGTATTGGAGGAGGCATTGATATTATCACCGCCTGTGACATTAGGTTTTGTACGAAAGATGCCTTTTTTTCTGTCAAAGAGGTTGACTTGGCGATCACAGCGGATCTCGGCACGTTACAGAGGTTGCCCGGGATCGTTGGGTTTGGTAACGCGATGGAGTTAGCGTTGACGGGTCGACGATTTTCGGGTTCGGAAGCTAAGGACTTGGGTCTGGTTTCTCGGGCTTTCGGGTCGAAGACAGAGTTGGATGCGGGTGTAAGACATGTTGCTGAGGGTGAGTTCGTAATTTGATTTCTGGTTTGATCTTTTACATGCAATTTCAGGATTGAATCTCTCGGAGATATACTATACAATATATTATTAACTATTTACAGATTAATTGGTAGTGATGTGGCAAGTTAGGGCGGGAAAATTACACACTTTGAATAGAGAGAAACACCAATAAACCTTAAATGGAATGATAATCACTGGTCTCATAGGTCCTACTTGTCCCATGAATACATGATTAACTTTTGGGACTGATATTGTTGTCTGGTCAATTTTTAAGAGGTTTAAACATGGATTTGGGAATATAATCCCTTGAAATAGTCTGGGTTAGTTTGGAGACCCTGCTCGATTGTATAAAATCTTTCCTGGGTGAAGATTTTTTATGACAAAGTTCAATGAGACAAATATAAGACCTGCAATTGTATATTTGTATTGAACTGAAACAAGGCTATCTGACTATGTTTAATTTTTGTGAATAATATTGGTACTTCTTGTGCGATTATCTTAAGCATTTTTTGAAATCTTTTTAGTCAATGTGTTTCTTAATTTCGGTTACTTTTTGGTTTTTTCATGACAAATTTGTAGACTCTATAGAGTTCCTAGTTTGCTTTTGTCCGAATGCCATAAATAGACTATCACCACTCAGATTTAAGCATTGCCAGGATGAATGAACCAAGCTATTTTGAAGATTGAGGGACGATCAAATAACATGTTTATTGTTTTGAAAAGCACAATTAGATCATAAAAATCATGTATTATCTGAAGCTAATTGTCTGATTTAATTTTTATGGTTTGGCTGGATGCCATGAACATATGTAGTTAGAGGTTACTTCTTTGATTTGCCTGTACAGAGTTCCTGTCTCGTCATTGGTCAGCCTTAAGTTGAGAATTGATATTAATAAATTGCTTTTGATAGGAATTGCTGCGAAGTCTCCTCTAGCTGTCACTGGGACAAAGGCAGTCTTACTAAGAGGCCGAGACATGACTGTGGATCAAGGTTTAGATTATGTTGCAACTTGGAACTCTGCTATGCTTTTATCCGATGATCTAATGGAGGCTGTGTCAGCACAAATCCATAAAAGAAAAGCTGTTTTTGCGAAGCTCTAATGGTGGGACATGCACTTGTGTGAGGTGTTGTTTGTTTTATTTCCCTAGATCTTGAGCTCTTGATTTGGGATAGGACCAGAATATGATAAAGCTACCCAGGATGTACGTCTATGTCAAATGTTGTATGCGAGAAGAAGCATTTTAACCCTTTAAACACGAGATACTATTCCACGCACAATTTTACACCATAGAAAAGAAATAATATTCTTTATCTAATTTATTCAAGAAAACTACATTTTTCCCCATGTATGAATGGAATGTACATACAAAAACAAAGCACTACGGTTAATCTTTTTCTCTATCTGGGGTGGAAACATCTGGGCAAAGAGTGCACAACCTTGCACGGCCGTGGCTGTGTCTAAATCTACTAGTTTTAATGCCAATAACCTTTAGGCCAAGTTGGTTATTATTCTTATAGAAACACTCCTGATTATACTTTCTGTTTATGGGCAACTGAGCGCACGCCTAGTGAATTCAACTCTTATGTATTGTGCGGTTGATTTCTTAGTTAAGAAGACACTGAAGAAGAGTACTGTAAACTCATCCATCGAGTTGTGCGCTGAAACACCACTCATGGTATGGTGATAAAAAAGCAAAAGAAAGTTATATGAGTTCGTACTCTCAAGCTTTAAAATGAATGATCATTGGGGCTCTTGTCCGGTCGAGTTTTAAAGTTTTGAAATATTAGTTGACGTGCAATCAAACTGACCAGACACCTCTACTGATAAGAAAATAAAATTCAGTAGAAAATAAAATAAAAAATGAAGGTCATAATACGCAGCATAATAGCATATACTAATCTATAAAGATTAATGTGTTCCCTATCTTGCGTACCAGCGGCGTACTTCACGCCTCCCTTTTCATGATTTATAGCAACTTTCTCTCCTGAATTTTGAATCAGTAGTCGTGAATCATTGACAATCTTAACATGTTGAAAAAGAATACGTTCAGACTTCAGTTACGTCTTTTGTGAGTGAAGGTGGAAACAAAATTCTACATATTTTGACAGCAAGGAAATCAATTATAATATATCCCAAGTTATCCTCTTCATTTTTATATTCCTAATAATTTGACACAGATTTATAGATATACATTTTATAATCGCATGATCATTTAATAAAGCATTTTGTATATAACATTACCCGTTAAAAGTATTATAAATAGTGAAGATCGTATTGTGAGTAAGCTGTTTTTGCGGAGCTATAATGGGATATGCATGAATGACCTATGTGTGATGTACTGTTACATTTTATTTCCTTAGCTCTTTTAACTCTTGATTTGTGACAGGGCCAGAATAAAATAAAAGCTTGTACTGCTATTTCAAATGTTGGATGCAAAAATGAGCATTTTAACCCTTCAAGCTTCAGCACAAGAGATACTATCTGTGCATAATTTTACACCAGAGAAAAGCATGTATGAATGGGATGTACAAACAGAAAGAAAGATATAATGGTTAATCTTCCTCGTATATCTGGTGTGGAAACATCTTTGGCAGTGTCTAAAACTACTAGCTTTAATGCCAAAACCCTTTTGGCCAAAGGTGTTATTCTTCTTATAGAAAAAGGGATACTCTTTACCATCCTTTTCTTGTTTGTTTTAGCGACTGAGCGCACACAGAGAGAATTAAACCCTCTATGTATTGTGGTATTGGTTTCGTGGTTGAGAGTAATGTTATTTGAGTTCCATTTACACCTATTTTGATTATACAAAGAGGGCAAAATGGACGGTGCTTACTAAATGTAGGATGCAATCAGACATATGTTCCCATCTTGAGTACCACCGGCGGACTTCACGCTCCCCTTTTCACGATTTGTAACACCTTTCTCTCTGAATCTTTCTATACCTTTGATTTTATAATTACAAGTGCTTATTTCAACTACTTCACTATTTTAACATGTTGAAAAAGAAAGAGTACAAAAATCATGCCATTTTCAGTTTTGTCTTTTGATAGTGAAGGTGGAAAAAAAAAATGTATATATTTTGATCGCATGGAAATCAATTATCATATATCCTAAGTTACCCTCTTAATTTTATATTCCAAATAATCTGATTGACATTGATTTATAGATATACTTATCTTTTGATTACTAATGTATATCATATTAAAAGAATTATTAATTAACCTACACTTAGGTGACCGAATAGTTGAATATAGATTCTTGGGTGTATTACTCAAGAAATTTTGAATACGATTCCCTTCAATTGATAACAGGGATGGCACTAGAGGTTACCTGACCGTTAAATTTAAAATTATCAGAAATTAATTGAGGTGCACGCAAGTTGATTAGACACCCCCAATTAACCAAAAAAAAAAAGAATTATTAAGTGTAAATATCGTATTATGAAAACATCAAGTTCAAGTAGTAGGCCTAGAGCTAGAAGTAACAATTGAGCTATTCATAAATAAGCATACTGTAATTATGTATTTGTATTCTCACATACTGTTAGTACTATTGTAATAAAATTATTGTAGGTGATATGTTCTTTATGTGATCTTATTATGTTATTCATAATTTATATGTAAATATCATGTTATAAGACCCATCATTAATTCATCCTTTATGTATCATTGTCACTTAAAATAATAAAATTATTTGGGATATGGATTTTGAGATATTATTTTGGAATTTCTAGCGTTTCTGTGTACAATAATAGTGCAGGAAAATTACAATGTGTGTTTGTTTCGATATATTGGATTGGACCGTTGGCCACTTAATTCCTGGACCTGGTGATGAGATCTACCTATTTGGACGCAAGCTTTCAAGCCCAAATAAGAAAAATAATGTTTACCATGTCATTGAATTGGTAGTGCATTCCACTCGTGGCTGGTTGGCAACTATTAGAAGATGGCTTAAGAATCAGCAAAGACCCAAGTGGGTTAAAACACTGCTTATAGTCATCTGCTTAAAAGGCCTCTCCAATGAACTTCCTTGTATTTGGCCATCCACTTTATTTATCATCTTACATTTACCCAAAAGCAGAGAAACAATATTTCATGTCAATCCTTTAAAGTCAATAAAACAAACACATACAAGATTCTATCTCCCATTTGGGAATTGCGATCTTCGCTGGACTCGATTAGCACCAGCGCCACCATTAATGAATACATTGTATTAATCTAACCATCCTTTCTTTTTCTCCACTTTGTCATCTTTTCCCTACCGCCTGACAAAACCAAATCCCATTAATAAATAAAGCCAAATGAAAATTAAATTATTGATGATGTCCAATAAACACGTAGATTTCTTCATAAATGTACGTGTGTTGTTTTGATGATAGAGAAGTATCTATAATTCTAAGCAGACCCATCTTGTTTCATATTATTACTTTCTGGCCCATGCTTCATTTGTAAATCCTTTCTCCAATTGTCTAGAAGCTTGAATGTTCAACTATTTCTCACAAGACATCCTTTTTATCCTTTTTATCATATGATCTGAAAACAAAATTAAATAATAAACCAAACGACATCAATCTATCTCGTATTGGTACACGTCAAATGACACGATTCAAATCGAATTCCCGTATGTGCGTTTTGACATTTCAGTCAAAAAAAAAAAAAAAGACAAAAACTAGTGGAATATTCCTTTATTCCATCCAATGAAAATCATATACCGACCTTTTAAATACCACGCTCCTGTGTTACCTTCTACCCAACGTCGAAATTCCCGTTGTCCTCTGCTTCTCTCATTCTTGAAATCGTCCTCTTTCTTAGACAATATAATAAAATAAATAACAAAAATGGCTCTCAAAGCTGTTCATGTCTCCGATCTTCCCAATCTTGATCAAGTCCCTGATAATGTAGCATCAAACTTCTGCGCAACCCGCTTCTGCAATGGTAAGTTTCATTTTATGAATGAAGTTTTGATTTTTATATATATGTAAATATTTTTGTTTTATATATACAAAACCTTAGTTGAGTTTTTGTTGTTTTTAAATTATCAGGTGTTAATGGTGATAGCGATGAAGTAAAGGGTAGTTTTAAGTTTCCAAAATTTGTTGTCATGGGACACAGAGGAACTGGAATGAACATGTTGCAGTCACCTGATAAAAGAATGAAATCAATCAAAGAGAATACAATTCTTGCCTTCAATGCAGCCACCAGTTTCCCTCTTGACTTCATTGAATTTGACGTTCAGGTTAGTTTTTTTTATCATTTCTTTTAATTCTTCTTTCTTTAAATTTAATTTCCCGATTGTTTCCCGGCGAGTTTCTTCTGTTTCTTTATCGTCGTTTTCTCGTAATAACGGTTTTGACCGAGTCCGGTATCTGTGGAGAGTTGCACGTGGACTGAATGGGTTTCATGTGATGTCTAGAAACCCACCACGTCACGCTCAATCCCAGCCCTTATCTGTCTCTATCCGCATTTCGCCGCGAAACTGATGCCTTTGAACAGGAGCCTCAGATTAGACACGTGTTTTGGTCCCTTTTTTCTTCTTAATTAATTGAGTAAACGACATTTTCCCACCCAAACCTTGGTGAATCTACGAGTTCCCACGCCTGATTTCATAAATTCCATATTCCCACCTTTAAATTAACATTATTAATTTTCTTACAAAATAACCCTCCATCTCAAATTTCTCTCAAATAACCCCAGAGGAGATCCCAACCAAGCCAAAAATCCAACCTGATTCCAACACCATTGGACCTCCCCAACACCACCATCAACATTCCCTTATCCTCCTCATCAAAACCCCTAACTTTTTCTATCCGAGTGCACCTCGACGAGGTACCGAAATTTGGCTGGAAAGGCGCGACAACACGCAAAAACCTAAGGGAGAAGCGGCGGCGATCAATGAGCAATTGTGATCAGCGATGTTGGGGGTTTTGGTGGGGGGAAGCCACTGATGCTATTGGTGGTGTTAAGGGTGGTTTCGGTGTCAAGACCCACCGAAATTTGGATGAAACGCCGACTGAAACTAAGAACGGCGGCGGGCAATTGGGCGGTTCAATCAAGTGGGGAGGTTAGGGGTTTTGATGTGGGGGTTGAGGAGATTGTAATTAGGGGTGGGTAGGTCCGAGTACCCGCCTTTTTTGAAGGAATCGGAACCGAAACCGGAACCAACCGGTTCTTGAAAAATAGAATCAAAATCGACGGTTTCAAACCTGTTTTACAGGTTCCAGTTTCGGTTCCAACTATGGGTACCCGATAAAATTACCAAATGGTCCATATTTGTTTAAAAAATGACAAATAAACCCTTAAAAAGTTACAAATACACCCCCATCTCACAACGAATTTTGACCATT